AGTATTTATGAGTTTGTCTTTTGTCTATCTTTTGAGATTCATTCAATAACAAATTTTCAAGTGCCTATTATTCTTAGATGCTAAGGATAATAAACTCTACCCTCACAGAGCATATAGCAAGCTGGGAAGACAGACAGATATTTAATTAACCATATCATGTGGTATAGTATAGAAGCAAAGATGCTAGAGGCTTACATGTTTCTGGGGAAGGAGGACCAACGGGTTTCTTGGAAATGACATTCATGTGGGGACTTGAGGGTAAGCAAGCAGTGCGAGCAACTGCTTATGCAAAGGCCTGGAGACCTCAGAGGAGCTGGCACAACAGAAGAGCTAACAGAAACTCAGTAATCTTGACAGGGATATATTCAGCTCATTTACATCTCTTGATACTCTTCTCTACTTGCTTTGAGAGTGAATACAGTTCTCCAGTCACAGACCACTCCGGATAGGCAATGTATTTTGATTTTAGCATTGTGGCAACAATTCCAAATATCTTTCATCTCAATTTTTAACATGAATTCAAATACATTAGTTTGTGTTTCATACAACAGAAGGATTGTGTAGGTAAAGAATAGCATTTTGATCCCTAATTTTCTGAATATGTTTTAAACACGAGCTAGCTACTTTACAAAATATTTTAAGGGGCATATGAAAATCCAGCAAGTTCTAAACCTAATGGGAAGTTTCTTGGGTTGGAGGTGGAAGAACATAGGCAGAGGAGCATCCATCTAAGGAAGTAAAATCAACAGTTATAAGCTGTGGCCTAAGAGTTTATGCATCAAAACAGCATCACAACAGCAGGGATGAAAAATAGGCAAACTAGTTAAACATACATATTTCATCGCTACTCTCATTGCCTATTTATTAAATAAACATCCTATGAATTTATTGCTACCTTTACAGACATCATAATGACTAAAGAGTTTTGCCATCTTCAATAATTCCTGACAGTCCATTGTGTGCCACTGGAGGTCATTTCTTTGTTATGGGTAAGTATCTGATTTCCATATTCAGCCATCACCTCACCGGACTTCATTTTGAATAGAAAATCTTAACTGAAAAAAGTCACAAAGGAAGACTCCTTGCTCTTAGGCTAACTAAAATGTTTCTAGTGAGGAAAGACATATAACTCAAATAGGGGTCATTCTCTATATTCTTAATATCCAGGGATAGTCTTATTTGAGTTATAATTAATATAGGGTGGGACATCATCTAATTTCATGATATACCTAAAAGTCATGAAAATATCAGATACACATGATTAATTCGGTCCTTTTCAAAGTCTTTTAGACAGTTATGCTTGGCTTTAACATTCAGAGGGTTGAGCAAGAAGGAAATGGCCTTGCATTTTGATAGTCTATATGGCATATTATTTCACAGCATGAGATTTGAGATCAGAGAGTAAGCTGAGCACAGGCTTTGCCATTTACTAGTCATGGGACTTTGGACAAATTAATCTCTTAGCATTTTGGTTTCTTCATCTCTAATATATGGATAATATTCTAAAATTTTCCTTTTTTTGAGATCAAAGTGAAATAATACATGTAAAGTTTTTGGCACAAGGCCTCACATATATGTTCCCAATAAATATGTGCCTTTCAGCATTGTGTTAGTTTTTCTCTGTTATTGTATGTCCTGACCCTATTCCCGAGGAGGTTTAATTCTGCCATTTGGATTTGGCCAATGAGAGGGTTGGGCAAGACATTAGAGGGTGGGAGGAAAAGAAGGGGTTATTTATTTCTCCTGCTCCCTCCTGGCTGGGCTTCAGCTGTGGCTCTAGCTGCATTCCTCTTCCTATGCCCCGGCTCCTGTCCAACAGCCCTTCTCCCATAGCTAGAGTTCACAGTCAACCTGACACTGCTACCTCCTCAGGCCTAAGAGTGGTAGTGGCTTCTCTTCCCACTGTTGCTTCAGATGCTTTCTTCTCACTATTGTTTGTCCTTAGGTGCTCCGCCATCTTTAGTCAGTTCTTTAAATGCCTCTGTAAACAGTCCTTTATTAAACTTTCTTTAGTTAAATGCTTTATATATGTCACTAGTTTTTTGCTGGGACTTTGACTTACATAAAATAATAATCTTTGTTGACAAGTCATTTTAAAATACTGTTAAAAGCTAATACAAGACAATTCTTAATCCAATGGGAAGTTTATTGGGATGGTGGTTTGTTGTCATGATATAAACCCAGCTTTGAAGGCTAGAGAGGGTTCCTTTAGATGGCAGCTTTGAAGGCTGGAGAGAGTTTGTTTAGATGGCAGGGGGTGGTGGGAAGGAAGGGTGGAGTTCTTTTCTAGATATATAAAACAACAAGATCATAGCCACAGTAGCAAAATGAGCATGAGGATTATGTAGAAAGTAAGGAAATGTGACTGGCTTTCATGGGAAGTTTACATTTCAGGGTTTTGGTAGGCAGGATAATGGTGTCCCAAAGATGTTCATGTCCTAATCCCTAGAACCTGTGAATATGTTACCTTATATGGCAAAAGGGACTCAGCACATGTGATTAAATTAAGGATCTCAAGATGAGGAGATTATCCTGGATTATCCAAGTGGGTCCATTGTAATTAGAAGGATCCTTATTAAAAAGAGGCAATAGGGTCAGAGTCAGAGAAGGAAATGGACAATGAAGGAGAGTCAGAGGAAAGATGTGAAAATGCTATTCTGCTGGCTTTGAAGATGGGGGGTGGAGCCCTAAGCTAAGGAATGCAGGTGGCCTCTAGAAGCTGGAAAAGGCAAGGAACTGGATTCTCCCTGATATAGCCTTCAGAAGACACACAGCTCTGCCCACACCTTGATTTTAGCCAGTGATACTTCTAACTCACAGAACTGTAACATACTTGTCTTCTTTTAAACCAATAAATCTATAGTAGTTTGATACAACAGAAATAGGAAACTGATACGTATAGTAGGAGAGAGAGGGTGCTGGATTAGGGCAAACCCCGAGTGGTCAGTAGAGAATTCTGGATTTCATCTGAAGACAATAAAGAACCACGAAAGTGTTTTTGTTTGTTTTACTAAAAAGACTAAGATATAATGAAAATTACTTATTAAGAAGATAGATTAGAGGTTGGGTACAGATTTGCAACAAAAAGAGTTCTCTACAGTAGTGTGCATGGGCAGGTATGGTGATGAGGCCACAGGGTGGGTGTGGATTCTATGAATTGAGAAGTTTCCAGGAAAGCTGACAGTATGATGACTAGAAAAGCAGCAAAGGAGAGGAAGAAGTCAAATTTCAGATCCTTGTGTTGTGAAATGGGCATAAATATAGCATAAATGAAGAACATATTGATTCTGATGCAATAAATTTTAAATTTTAGTATGATTGAGTAATACACACACATACACACACAAAAGGAAATTAAATATTATAATTTAGAAATATCTATGCATTATTCTTTAAGTCCCTTTCTGCATTTAGCAAGGCATATTATCCCAACAATTGGCAGAAAACCCACAGTATGCAACTGTGACTGTTTTAGGCATGAGTAAATAGTTAAACCTAAAAAATCTTCAATTATATATATATAAAATTGTATATATATACATATATTTCATATATACATATGTGAAATTGTAACTTGTTGACCTCTATTTTTTTAAGTTTCATTCTTGTCTTTTTAGAGCATGTGCAAACTACATTTGATCGTTTCTGCACTAGTGATGCTTATTTGGTAAAATGAAAAAGGTACAACTTGAGTAGTTAGAAAACTTCAGATTTTGTACAATGACAACAAAATGCAAACGACCTCCAAAAAGTTTGAGCTGAAGAGGCATCATAGGTCAAATAAGTGCAAAGGGCAGTGACAGTAGCTAGTAAGTTAAACCATTCACTGGCTGTAAAGCTGTTCAGAAGTCACTACTGTTTGGATCACTGGACACTTCCTGAGTAGTGGAAAATATCTGGATGAAAAGTCAATAGCTCATAATTAACTCTCTTAATACCACCTCACCATGGAAAAATGTTTTGCTTGCAAATAATCCATTTCTCAGTGATCTTCATTAAGACTTAATGCTTGGGCATCTGAATCAGAGTAAACGGGCCTGATCACCCCTGTTTTTAATGGAAAAATGTTAAATTAACTAATACCAATAAGCATGCCAGCAGTAAAGACACTGAACATTGAATACTGAGGATATGCTAAACCCAACCATTAACCTAACCATTAATCAGGTCACTTTCTTTCACACAAAGCTTCACCAATCTGCCTTTTTCTTTCACCATTACAACTATCCCCCCTCAGTATATGGTAAAATCTGACCATGGGTTAGTCATTTGGAAAATCTTAGAAAATGCTATGATTCAACCTTTTTCTAAATTGGATATAACTTTGCAATTCCAGTGTTTTTTTTTAAAGTCCCTCCTGAAAAATACCTTTTATACACAAGTAACAATACTATATTTTGCATTTAAAAAAATAGTCTGCTCTGAGACTATCTCTTTCTCAATTTCAAAGTGTTCCTCCTCCTTATATAGAAACATCATTTCAGGACAAGAAACAATTTTGCCTTGCTTTCCTTTCTTTCCTCCTTCTGTAGTAGAAAAGATCTTGAATACTTGACAGCAAGAAAATGTAATAATGCCCACTCTTGAGTAACCGGAAGGTAGGAACTTTGCATATAAATCCGGTGCCCTCTAGTTTCCTTCCTCCAAAAAAATTTAAAAAATAATAAAAATAAATAAAGGCGGGGGAACGACATTCAGCAAAGTCCTAAAATAACTGTCAAAACAACTTTAATTGTAAAGTCATTTCTACCTTGTAAAGTTTTCAGCACTGTCTGCCTCCTACCATTGCGGGGGAAGGTTTTGAAACACATCAAAACTAGTATCAAAAACAAAACGCAGACACTCCTTTCTATATTCGGACCTGCCCAGACTACCTGGAGCGTCCCAAAGTGAACCAGCTCTCCCTCCACCTCTCTGGGCCAGGGCTCTCTGTATCTCCCTACCCACAAGTAGCCCGGAGCCCCGCACGCAGATGCTCAGGAAAAAACAAGGTCGCTCACCGGTGAGGAGCCAGCAGCAGGCGACAGCGACCCCTGGGCTGGCCTGGCGTCGGGGAGCCATGGCCGGGGAGCCCGCAGAGCCCGGGGGACGCGCTGGATGGGAGGGCGAGACGCAGCAGGACTGGGCACGGGAGCCGCGCGCTCTGGGCCACTCTGCCGACGCAGGTCTCAGTCTCCGGCCCCGGTCAGTCGCGGCGCCGAGAAGCCGAAGAGTGAATTTCCTGTGTTTTCGACGAATGCCTCTAGGTCCTCTCCACGCTTTTCATATCCCAGACTTACTGCCCCATCGCCCGCCCCCTTCGCGCGCTCGGTCTCTGAAATCCCACTGGCAGCCTCCCAGGCTCTGTCCGAGACATGGACAAATAAAGTCAGCTTCGCGGGTTCGTGTTTAGGCTAAAGTCCACGGGCTGCAAAGCAAACCTTAAAGGGACATCTGCCTTTCATTGAGAGGGTGATCCCGTTCTCCGTGCCAGCTCCCTAAGGTGGTAGGAAGGCGGGCGAGGGCTGGACCTTCGGGAGGGTGTCGCCAGCCCAGTGGCCCCGCCTTCACACCCCTTACCTCTCCCTAGGTCGGGGCAGGGAGGGCACTTTCAAAGTGCCAGGGCTCCTTGGCCCTTAAGGGGAGGCTGCTTTCCTGGGGTCAAATTGCGCAGAAGGAATTAGACTGTCTCTGAAAGTGAGCACCACCTCCGTCTCCTGCGGACACTTGAACTTCGCTGTGCTGTTGTCTGGCACTGAGAGAGAGGGAGAAGAGGGGGCGTCCACTCAGACACGCCCCCACAGAGGGTTTTGCTTTCGCTTATGAAGAGTTTACTTCATTTATGGTGACTTGTGGTTGAACGGTTGTTGCCCCTAAAGTTTTCTTTGGCGAGACTGTAGGTGGGAGAAAAGAAGAAAAACAAGAGGGGGAGAAAAGAAAAAAAAGAAAGGAAGAATGATAAATGCAAGCGGGAAGAGGGAGGTTAATGAAGGGAGGAAAACAGTCTCCTTAGAAATGATTATGTGTGGGGACTATTTTGTTTAAGTTGAATTAAGATGTTTGTACACTGGGAATTGAATCTAATAAAGAACTCAGGGCACTGTTTTATTTCTTCTTGTTACAGACTTTTATAAGTAAGAGTGCATTAAATGATGTTCATGTTACTCCTTCCTCTCCCACTCCCACTCCCTAGGGAACTGAAGATTGGGAAGTTAAGTTGATAGGTCACAATGTTGGAGATTGTTACCCCACCCGGGGAGACCCAGGCCAGAAAAGACGCTTAAGAATTTGCAGTGCTTCCCTTCCTTGTTGAATGAATTGTACAACGTCCCTGAGTCAAGAGCCACATTGACATGTTAGCTTCACGTGCTATTTTTTGTTTAAAGCAGCTGTGTCTTAATGGTTTTGAGAACTTCAAAGAAAGAGGAGTGGATGAGTGGATTTGTGTTTACAGGTGGTGGAGGAAATCAAATCTATTCAATTCTGTTCAATTCAAAAGCAACAATTATCTCTAGCTAGCAGGACTAGGGCTAGGCAGGACAAGACTGCCACCCAAAGGAGGACTCTGCCTAGAACACAATACAGGTGACATAGTATAGGTAACCCAAGAGAAGGGAAGGGAGAAGCCCACAGGGATGATTGAAAAGATTGCCACCAAATAGAAGATTGCAGGAACTAAAATTTGGAAAAGATAAAAGGTAAAGAAATGTAATGAAGATCAAAAATAGGGTGGGCAGCCCTGAGAGGTCCAAGGCCATCAAATCTCAGTAACATGACCCAACAGAGCTAAGGAATTCCTCTTCTAATTTATGTATGAAATGATTAACTACCTAATAAATATATTTAAAACACTTTTTCCCCTGTTTCCAGCTTTCATATTTTCATTTCTTAGTCCTATTTTCAAAATTGCACAAATAAATTTCTAGAAAAATCTCATGTTGGATCACAGTTCAAACCCATCAGACATTACTTATGCTCCTATGCCTGCATTCAGTGGTCTCATATCCCAGTTTCGCTTTCCAACCCATCTTAATTAACCTGCATTATCACCCTGCCTCCTGCTGTTCCTTTCCTGGGAAAGCCTTGATGAGTATATCTGTACATTTCATCTCCCTGTCTATAGTCTCAGTTATGTCTTACATCTCTCAGTATGGCCCATGGGGCTTTGAACAATAATCAAATACTGATAAACTGATTAATGCTTAGACATTTAAAAATCATGATAAATACTTTCTTCAAAATATCTTTTCAAATTGCTCACTGTTTTCATAAACATATAATAGTGTGTGTATATATGTAAACCTATGTGTATATATATGTGTACATACATATATACATATGCATATATGGGGTTCTAGAAAATTACAGTATTATTGAATTAGAAAGAAATGAAAAGAGAAATTATAAAATTATATCTTATTGAAATAAAGTATGGTTAAAACATACTTATTATATGACCAAGGTTATAATTATTGGGAACTTTAGCTTTCCTTTTGGGGGTTAATAAATACTTTGAATTTAAATTTTTGAAAATCTTCTCTAGGACTTCTCTAGGACAAACTAATGGTGATAACCAGCACTACCAGTACTGTGGTTAAAGTTAACTTCTATATGTGTTATGAATATTATGGCAATATTTATTAATCTTCCTCATTTTACTTCAATGCAAATATAGACTGAGAAAATAGCTATTGCTGGAGAATTAAATTTAGGATCAGTGCTCATTTTCTGAACTTCAATAAATCTAAACATAAACCAATGTCAGCCAAGATATTCTCTTAACCAATTTTATCCTGACAGGAAGACATGTTATTGAGTAAATTGAGGCTTAGAAAGGTAAAAACTAGGGTCACAAACTAGTCATTAATTACATGGGGTCACTTGACAGCAAATGTTAAGCTCTAGACTTTGTATGATGTACTCTTCTATTTTAAATGAGATCTAATCTGATCAGACCTCTCTGACAGTTTAGAATTATGGGTGAAAATCAGAAGTACCTTGAGAGGTTAGAGACTGAACTGATTAAGAATTTAGAATATGGAGTCTATAAAATGAGACAAAAGTATTTGGGATTACTGGTTAATATCTCAAAAATAAAAACATACATTTCATACTCAAGTATTCTCCATAGAGGTAATCTAATATATTGTGAGTATAATTACTGGAGTAAGTAGGTTCTTGAGTTAAATTTCTTGGATTCATGCCCAGGAACCACCATGTGGTAGCTGTGTGATCTAGGAAAAGTTATATAGCTTCTGTGAGTCTCAGTTTTCTCAAACATAAAATGGGGATAAAAATACTGTCTCTCTCTGAAGATTATTGTGAGGATTAAATGAGACAAACCAATGAAGCATTTAGCAAAATGCCTGGATTAAAGTAAATAGAAGTGAATTATTCTTCTTCCCAGTTGTAGGAGAATTAGAATTAGACAGTGGGAATATAGGGCAGGGTCTGTGTGTGGTGGGCCATAGGAAGTGATGCCATTTGATGGGCATCAAAAGAGAATGTTAGTGTTTGGCCAAAATCATCTCTATCAACTCTTGTTATTATTTCTGGAATCCTCACCTGGAATCCTTACTTTGTATTAGGGAATTATCTTGAAAATATCCCAATAAAATGGGTATACATTAAGACATCAGAACCCATTACGACATTAACAAGGACTTACTTTTCAAATTACCTAGATGTCAAGCGGATTTTTTTTTTTTTTTAACAAGAAAAGAACGTTTCACTAAGGGGTTGGGAATAAGAGAGGGTCTAGAGTTCTGCTACTGGTTAAGGCCAGGGTTCTTTGGTAGTTAGATCATGGGTTCTCAAAGCCACAGGATAAATGAGGCACTCCAACCTGGGTAGAAGGGTGGTATCAGTTTTATTCAATAGTAAATAAATACTTTTTAATTTTTTTTTATGTTAAAGTAACAGATTTTTATAAGAAAAATGTAAAATGATGTTTTAAAAAAGTTAAATATAAGGTTTAAAATACATTTTAGTATAGCATCAAATTGTGCTTTCTTCCCCCCTCCTCAACTCTGAGGTGTTAAGGGTAGGTAGTATTGTCTAGAGCTGCTTCTATTAAGATCTCATAAAGATTCAGATTTTTAAATTTTACTATGTATATATTCAGTGAGTTGCTCTCCAAGACACTGATGCTAACTCACAGAGCTAACTCATATGGTCAACTTAGTTTAGTTGAATAATTTTTATTTATTTATTTATTTATTTATATATTTATTTATTATTTTTATTTATTTATTTTAAAGATTTTATTGATTTGAGATAGAGTGAGAGAGTGTGGGTGGGTGGAGGGGCAGAGGAAGAGGGAGAACCTCAAGCAGACTCCCTGCTGAGCATGGAGCCGGACATGGGCCTCCACCTCATGACCCTGAGATCATGACCTGAGCCAAAATCAAGAGTCGGAGGCTTAACCAACTGAGCCACTCAAACGCCAGATTTGAATAATTTTTAAGTTCCTGCTGTGTACTGGACTCCAGGGCTATGTTCTGCAGAGGCAAAAATGGGTAGAACACTTGTTTTTCTACTGAAAATCTGCTGTCCATTAATTTTTTTCACTTGGAACTAGGGACAGAAAACAAGCAGTTTTGTTCTCAATTATAACATTGACATGTTTCATTTTAAGCCTGTTAAATTAAGCAGTCTAGTGGAATTACCATATTAGTGTTGTTACTTCAACTTGAGAACCCATGATTGCTTCTTCTATGACCAAAACAAAGTCACAATGATGTAGAGCTTAAACTTCACCACCAACTAAACTTTTTTTTATTGCATAATGTTCTTGTGTGAATGTTGTTTCACTTAAAATATAAAATAGGTGTTCCTCCCACCCTATTTCCTGAACAAGTCTATGCCAGAAACTTGGTCCAAAGACATTTGGGCAACTGGTACTTAGGAAAAAAATTTGAATTTAGAATCCTGGTGAAGGACAGTTCTAAACACTGTAAAAAAAATCCTAAAACTTAGCAGACTTCAACATGAGTGGCACACTAGGGCTGTACTGGGGGAGGGAGTACCAGGGTGGTGCCCTGGCAAGAATATTTAAGTCGTGGCACACTTGAATCACAATAACCATCACTGATGAGCAGTAACATTTTTGCTGCAGTGCTGGATTCCTTAATTTGCAATGTGAGTTAATTATTTTTTAAGCTATTAGGTAATTCTGGGACTATTTGAGCAGGTTGATTTAATTAATTTATTTTCCTTTCACCAGTTTATAAAGAGTTAAAGCAGGTAGGTGGGCTCTAAAATTTCAGGACTGAAACAAATAAATTGTTAGTAATT